CAGCTGATCGAAGCCGGAGGGGCGGGCGGGCGCATGCTCCCAGCCGTGCATTGCCCCCACCCTTCCAGCCCCCCAGCTCCCTGGGCCCGGCCCTACCAACTCCAGCAGAATCGCTAGGCCTACACGCGCAACCCTGGCACACGCCACAGGCCCTCAGAGGGCCCTCTGGGCGCTCCTGCACGTGGCTTCCCTGGCCTCGACGCCACCGCTAGTCACTCCCTGCAGAAGATACCCATTGGTCTGGGCCACCCAGCACCCTGGGCGAGGAGGGAAGGTGGATCCCACCAGGGCAGGGCTGCAGGCCTGCCTGCGGCCATGCCCCAGGACCCTAGACTAGCCCGTCATCACCACGATACATGTCCCCACCTCCCATGCCCCAAGTGATTCTGCCCCTGCCCTCCACTGGCACCCTCCCCCACCTACATGCTCCTGTGCCACCTTACCCTGTCTTATGACTGAAGATGCCCTCCATACTCTGACTCCTAAGATGTCATGTCCATCTGGTCTCCAACCTGCACCCCAGCCTCTACCTCTCCCACTCAGCACTTCACATGTTGGGATGCTCTGTGGCTGCCACACCACCTACCAGCCTCAGGACAATCCCCTGGAGCCCGGCCGGGGGTAGCTCAGCAGTTGAGCCTCGACCTGGGATCCAGGAGATCCGGGTTCGATTCCCGGTCAGGGAACATGCCCTGGTTGCGGGCTCCATCAATGACTCTCTCATCATTGATGTTTCTATCTCTCTCTCCCTCTCCTTTCCTCTCTCTGTAATCAATAAAAGATATATTTTAAAAAAAAAAAGAACAATCCCCTGGAGTCGACCCGACAGCCAGACCCACAGGTCTGATAGCTCTGCCTTCCAGTCTGTCCACCTGTCACCATCTCCACTGCCACCACTGGTCGAAGACCCAGCACATCCCTTTGCAGGGTCCCCTCCCACCCCTATCCCTGATGGGGTCAGCCTCTTGAGCCACAGGAGTGGGCTGTGTGTCACTGCCTGCCTGCTGGGGACAATGTCTGCACTGGCAGGGTGAGGTCTGCTCTCCCTTACTCACTGGGCATCAGGCTGCCTTGCCCACACCTTGGGTCTTCATCCCTTCGTCATCAGCAGCTGCCCTTCTACCCTGGTCCTCTCCTCCATGCTGGGCTGTGGAGGACAGAGCCTCCACGAGATGTGGCCAGCCTGCCTCAGTCTCCTTCCATGCCTACCTCCCAATCCTTCCTCTATCCTCACCCCAAAGCCCCTCCCTGCCTCTCGGGGCCCACACCCTGCCCAGCCAGGCTACCTCCTTCAAGTACCCACCAGAACTGCAGGCAGTCCTGCTATGTGTCAGGTCAGGGCTGGGGTGGAAGATATGATGATGGCATGGGGGGTGAAGTT